AGCAGTCCCAGTACACAGATCATGAAATGAATGGACCTTGGATGCTCTCCCAAGAGCTTGCAGGTGTTACGCTGCTAATGCTCAGGCTCTGCCGCTTTGCTGCCTAAGCACAGCCTTGCCTCTCGGGTGCAGTAAGAGTCCGTCCAGCCCCCAGCTCTGCCATTCACATACACCATGTAGCACATTTCAAACACAAAGTCAGGCTGCCGACGAGGCTGGCTGCTGCAAAGTGCTCCTTCACCACTGCCCCCTCACCTTCGATCAAGGGCCCAGATTCTTGCTGTGCTTCCACTTGCTTCCCTATTTTCACTCTAGGGAGAAGAGCTGCAGGGGGACAGCCAGCGCCATCCAGCCTTGTATCCTGTCCCCAGTGATGGCCTGCTGCGGATGCTTAGGAAAAGAGTAAAAGAGGGTACAGCCAGAGAAAACCTTCCTCTCTGAAATCTTCCCAGAGTCAGTAATTGGTGTTCTAGGGATTTCCCAGCCTGGAGATTGCATCCAGCCCACTGTGTTTAATGACCCTCCCTGGACGAGCCTCACCCCGTTCTCATCCTGACCATACCCCAAACCTCCACGATGTCCTGCCCTTCCCCACGCAGCCGTGAACAAGACAGACCCCAAAGGCCGGGATGCTGCCTGTACATGTTGAGTCCCCCCCGGTCCCTGGGCCCGTGGCGGGGGGCCGGGAGCGGCTTCCCAGGGCTTTCCACTGGAGGTCAGTGTTGGCCTGAGCACGGCGCCTAGCACCCCCGGGCCACCTCCCCCCCGTCACCCCCCCCACGCTGGGGCGTTACACCCGCGGGGTAAAGCGGCGGAGGTCAGGGCAGTGTTGCTCTGGCCCTGTTCAAACACAGCAGCTGCATCACCCGCTCCTGCCCGAATATGAAGGACCCAAATATAAAGGACCCAAATATAACGTAGCAGAGGTGGTGACAGACCCCCAAGACCCCGAGATGTAGCTCAGTGCTCGGGCAGTGCTGAATCCCGGATGCTAATTTGTTAAAAACTCATTATCAGCTGGCAAAGCCAATCTCAGCACGTCTCACTGCACCCACTGCCCATGTCCCCATCACGGGCTGACTTTACCGACTCAATCTTGACCTCAAAGAGACACCACTGACCGTCTTCAAGCCGTGTATTTGCAAAGGACAAAGCATTGCATAGAATAAAAGATAGTTATGGTATAAAATTTCCAACACTGGGACTGCCAGTGGACAGCTGACAGCATCCAGACAAAGTCTAACACTACCAGAGAGACCGACAAGTTCTTCAGGAAATGTGCTTTGACTAAAATTTCAGCTAATGCTGTGTTTGTTTGCAACCAGATAGAAAACACTATTTATAGCTTGGGAATATCAGCTGGAAAGAGCATTTCTTATTGCTTGTTTTAACCTGTGGGGAAGCTGTAGGAAGGTGGTACAAGCATGAAACACGCTTGTTGTACAGAGACAGATGTGGCACCTCGGTTGGTCTTCCCTGGGCAGCCAGTATCTCCCAGAGGAAAACAAGCATCTTGTTCAAAGCGGCAGCTCATTTTGGTTATTTGTTTCTGAACGTGCAGCTTGAGAGATCTGAATTCAGCCTGATTTGCAAAGGGCTGTTCCCTGAGAAGTCAGACTGTCTTGGCGATAGCCCAGATCGCCACTCAAATCTCTTTGGTGCTCGGGATCAACTCCAACCCCCCTTCCCTGCGTCTCGCGGGCCCAAGATAGGGCTCTCCCCACTGCAAGATGTCCACAGGACCTCTTGCCATCACCCTAAAGGATGACGTTCATTCCACAGTCTCGGAGAGCAAAGAAAGTTTTGCCTCTGGCTTTTGTGTGAGCAAGATCGAGATAGTTATGACTGTCATTACTTAATATTCCCTAAACTCCCTAAATAAAGAGGGGAGGATTTCAAAGGAGACTTGGTTTCACAACTGAAATCTGGGTGATAATTACTCCTGTTTCATTCAAATCCTTCTTATTCACTAAACAGGGACATCGAAAAGACACTAAAACAGATGAAGGGCTCAGGTATAAACTTTACAAAGCTTAAAACTACTCTGTCCCAGCGAGGCTCATGCTTTACATGACACTTTAATCCTACTCATTTGCTAGATTCACCCTAACTGTAAACAAAGCTTTGAAATGAAAGCTTAAAAGCCTGGTTGGGATACATTAAGTTAACCAAGAAGACACCCTTAAGGCATTAGTTTAATGACAATCACAATACAAGTTGCCAGAGGTTTGTGCGTGTGAGGATTAATATCTACAGGAAAAAGAAGAAAAGGGGTCTGTTCCCCATGCTTTCCAGCTTGTTTGGCAGCGTAAGGCCTCACTGCAGTGAGGGTGGTTTATTGCCGCTTGCAGGGGGCTCTGGGCTGGGGCTGTCTGGCAGACGGGGAGATACAGGACCCTGGGAAGATGTGCAACCCAACACTGCGCCCCAGGGTTTGTCCCAACACACCAGGATAGGGTCATCTGCTCTCTCCAAGCCAGGTTTTCAGGGATCCAGTCCACTATGGTGACTCTTGCTTCACACCAGAGCCCCCTTGGCTGAAGAGACCCCTCTTGCACAGGTACAGGGGTGGAACGGGTCTCCTGTAGACACCCCCCCTAAGATCTGGAGCTGGGTGCTGCTCTCCAGAGAGCCCCGTGGCAGGAGGGCGTAGGCAGCTGGGGGACAGGAGCAAGCCACAGCCCAGCCCTTCAAGCACCCTGAGCCCCCCTGGCTCCACCAGCACTTGAGTTAACACCCAGAGATGCCAGGAACTTGGAAAGCCCTTTCCGACACCGGCTCCCCACTCCTGCAGGGCTCCAGGGTGACTGGGGAGAAGCAGGCTCAGCCTGGTCTGACACATCCTGGCTCGGCCACCCAGGCAGAACCACAGCATCTCCTGCCCACCCCCTCCACCCAACATTGTTTTCCTTTCATGCCGGTACTTGGTTCTCCCCTACCTCAGCAACCCTCCTGCTCACAGTGCAAACCCAGCAGAGTCCCAGCCTGGCGCCCGGTGATGCTGGAGGGAAGCCGGCGGACCCAGCGCTTCGGGCACATGTCTGGCTCTGACCCACTGGATACTTAGGCAAGACTTCAAAAGTGCTTTTGTTTGCAAAACATTGCAGGACCAGGCCCTGGGAATGAATGTGAGCTATGACAAGTGTCCTTTCTACTGACTGTCCTTGCAAGCAATCATTTCAGCATCCCCCCAGTCCATCTATACAGACGGTATGTTATGAACAGGAATGGCACTTTGCAAACTTTCATTAGATAGAAGATCTCTGTCTACAGATATCTTCTGCAGAGAGCCAATGTATTTTAAGGGGTAAGTTTTTTCACAATGCCCTTTCGGAGCAGGGCTATCACCAAGGGAAAAGCACAGAAGCTGCTGCTGGGACCGGTGTCAAAGCTGAAAAGGTGAAGATGGAGGGACCAGAGAGGAGACCCAGAGCCCAGCGGCTCAGCCGAAGGCAGCAGACCAGAGCCAGGCCCGGTTTTAGAGGCAGATGAAGCTGCAATTTTAAGGAGGTCAAGAGGAAAAAAGTATTTTCTTCCCTCCCCTCTCACACTAACCCCACTCTCAGTTTCTACGGAGCACATGGGATAAAAGAATGAAAAGCCACAAGCTCCCAAGCTGTGGGCAAAAGTTGGCTCCTTGGGTACCTGCCTGTACGCCCAGCTTTCGGTCATGACCAGCAGCCGGGGAACGAGATGCTCAGTTTTGCACCAAAGCTCAACTGACATCAAACTCCTCCTTAAGCAGGAGGAAGGTGCAATAGGGACTACAAGAAACTGCTCTGCTTCAGAGGACACCCTTGAAAAACAGGAAAGAAATCCTAGCTTGTCACTTTTACCCAGAGGATGTTTAAATTAAAAAACACTAAATCCGGGGACGGGGAATTCTGCCTTCAAACCTGGCGAGATGGTCTGGCTGGCAGTCCTGTAAAGAAAGAGCAGCAGCCTGGCCAGTGAACAGGTTGGAATTTTAATTGATTTTGTTGCTAGGAAGGAAAGCTACGATCTCGTAATTTGGCGTGCTAAATCAGAATTTCACCTGCAAGGGATTCCTTGGAGGGAAGACACGTTCCCTGCTGCGCAAATGGAAACCATCGAGTCCAGTAAGAGCTGTGTGGGCAAACCTTGCAGGTGACGGAGAACTTATTGCAGCCTTTGCACGGCTCGGCAGTGGTTAGTTACCATTCGTTTTTTAAAAAATCATAATAAAATAGACAGCTTTAGAGAGTGTCACTGAAAATGTAAGACGTGGCAGTGCCACAACAGCAGCACGAGTCTGTCTCCCACTGGTTACGAGACTGATAATTTCCTCTCGCCAAGGTCCGGCCAGAGCCAGAGGAACGGCAGCACTGGACATGTTGGAAGAAAAAGCTTTATTTTAAAAAAGTCCTTTCTAACAATAGAAGTTATTTTTAAAAATAGTAAAAAGAAGTAGTCAGGGTGGTGGGTTTTTTCCTACAGAGGAAGGAAATGATAAACATCTTAAATATTCATTTAAAATCCAGTGAATTGGTTTAGTGGGGGTTTTTTTTGGTGACTCTCATTCCAGTTACAGAGGAGGCACACAGGGAAGAGAGGAGAAAGCCCATTTGCAGGACAGTTCCTGCTCTCTGGGTTGCTGCACAGTACACCACGCACCCACCTCCTGGGTGTGCTCCTCCTCACCCGGGCATGCCCCGGGGTGCTCAGGGTGCCCTGCCGCAGACGGCATCCCCAGGGTCAGGCTGTGCAGAAGGGTGCGGGGAGCCCTGCCTGGCAGATGTAGCCAGAGAGCACCTTTTCCAGGAGGGGATGGGGCAGAAAAATAGATCGCCTTGCCTCCAGTTAAAAATAAGCTGAGAAAGAGAGGAGTTAGGTACCCCCACAGGTGCGTGTCCGCACACAGCCAGAGGCTGGAGACTCCCGACCCCACCCCAGCCGATCAGCACAGCGGGGAGAAGTCCGCATGTCCAGAGATGCTCGTGGGAGCCTGGGGATGTCCAGCCAAGCCCCCCCCGACCCCATCACATGTACCGCTCCAGGCCGGCAGGAAAATTGGGCTGCCTCATGTAGGCGTTGCTGGAGCCGAACTGGCCGAGGGGCGACGCGGAGAGCCCCAGGAGCTGCTCGCCATGCTCTGCGCAGGCAGGAGGCCGCATGGCTGGCAGGGCCAGTCTGTTGGGAGCCCCATAGAGCTGTGGGCTGCCAGGCGAGTAGCTGCCCTGAGCCACGGGCAGCTGGGGGGGCGAGGCGGCATAGGGGTAAGCCAGGGTGTTGGGGCCAGCCCGGCCCAACAAGCCGGGGCTGACGGGCTGCACTTGGAAGCAGGGGGGCTCGGAGCTGCCGGCAGAGCAGGCGGGAGCCAGCTCGGCTCCGGGCAAGCCCAGCGATGGGTGGCCCAGCTCGGCGGGTGGCGAGGGCTGCAGGGCCTGCTGCCCACTGATGAGGCTGTCGATGCTGAACATCCTGGGATGCTGTGCCGGCGGTGCTGTCCCAGCTGCATAGGGGTGGAAGACGGTGCCGGAGAGCTGGGGGCCGTAGCTGGGCGAGCAGAGGGTGTTGGGGTAGGGTGCTGTTGGTGCCGCGGGGCGGCCGGCGGGCGGGGGCGTGAAGGCGCTGGAGTTTTGCATGTAGCCGGGGTAGGTGGTGATGTCGGTGCGCTTGAAGCGCTTCCTCCGGCGCAGGAAGCTCCCGTTGTCGAACATGTCGGCGGACTCGGGGTCCAGCGTCCAGTAGTTGCCCTTGCCCGGGTTGCCGGGCTCCCGGGGGATCTTGACGAAGCAGTCGTTGAGGGTGAGGTTATGGCGGATGCTGTTCTGCCACTTCTTGGGGTTCTCCCGGTAGAAGGGGAAACGCTCGGTGATGAACGAGAGGTTGTGGCGGATGCTGTTCTGCCAGGCGGGGAACTTCTCCCGGTAGTAGGGGAAGCGCCCGCTGATGAACTCGCAGATCTCGCTCAGCGTCAGCCGCTTCTTGGGGCTCTGCAGGATGGCCATGGTGATGAGGGCGATGTAGGAGTAGGGCGGCTTCACCAGCGGGTTCTTCCCCCCCGCGCC